AGATTTGCAGACATTGAGAGGCGCATATAACCCTGGTTTCCACTCTCTCGTTAGACGACCAGTTGTGAATCATGGCAGGCATTCACGGATATCACAGTGTTTACACTGTATCCGCACTCCGTTGTACTTTGGCATGGCGTACGATCGCATATTTTAGTCGTAGTTCTTTCTAAGGCCGCAAGGTCGATTTTACCGAAAGCTGCTGTTAATATTGATCTTACCATTATTTTTAAAATTCTCATCACTCCAGTGCTTTATTGTTGAGCTGTGAAGGCCATGTATATCGGCTCTTCGTACTACGCTCGTCTGTCGGCTGAAGAAATACTCTGAATTACACCCATCGCACTTAACTTTCTTGAATGACACAGAAGAATTTTTAGACTCTTCCACATATTTCAAGGCTATTGGAATTGCGTTTCTCTCATTTTTCATGGATGAGTGATTGTGTTACCTACAGAGCGGTAAGGCATCCGTGCTGATATGAACTAAAACTGCCCATACAGATATTACCTAATTTGTGAATTAATTTCAGTTTATACGAGTACGGACGCATTATCACTCTGGATGGTAATATGTTTGCAGTTATTAACGATAAATGAATGAGTTAACCGGGGGAGGGAGCAAAGCCTGCATCGCCGCATATTGCAGAGGTAACGATATTTCTTAGAACGTCGCATGGCGTTGATCGATCATACAATTCAGATTGTTATCGATGATGAATTCACGAATAAATTTCGTCAAATTTTTAGGGACATATCTTGGGACAACGAGGAGACTTTCCACGAAATGACGCAGAGACCAACCACCTGCGTCGGCGCCACTTGCATTTGCCCAAAAGGACCAGACTTCAGCGATGAAGAGGACTGGAATCTGTTGTACTGCGTTCTATGCGGTGGCAGTCCGGTTCACGAACAGTGCTACGGCGGCCCTGTATGGGTATGCGAAGACTGTTCAAGTAAGTTCAGTTAGGACAGCTTGGGTCGAAAGAGGCGAGCCTGATCTGATATGGTTATATTTCAGTTGTGAAAGGAAGAATTCCTTCCTTGGGTAATAAATCTTAGCATTAGGTTTTCGTCATTTTTTACGTTGTTTGCAGAGTTTGCAGAGCAACCATTAACGTATAAAACCTTTGGTCGTCCGGTGATGCAAATCAGGCAGACAGCGCGACGCGGAAAGCCGTTTCGTGGCTCAAGAGGCACAAGAGGTTCGACAGCAGGAACAGCAAGTCTATATATGATTGATTATGTTATTAGGAGCGTCAACATCAGCGACTTCTGGTCTGTACATTGTTTATTCCCCGCCGACAGGTGAAAATTGCAACTCCAGCAATTGTGGAGTAGCCAGTTCTGCTGACCAGTCCGAAATTCGGAGTATGATGCAAGAAATCGTCACTTCCGTTAGTGCCATTATAGAGCTTAACGAAAAGCGTCAGGAATTTCGATTTGCCGGTTAACCTCGTTTGTCAACAGTCGGTTTGTTGAATGAAAGTGTTCCACTTGATCGCAGACAGCTATGAAAGTGTTGCCCAACGTTCTACACCCATGTAAACCCTTCGAAGAGAGGGACATTTACTCGCTGTCCTTCGGAAGATTGCGACTGTAAAAATGTATTTCTTGCGGGCATCAGCGTTTGCGCCGTTGGATAATAATGACTTCCAGTGTGCGCGTCATTTTGTGACAGTGAAAGTTTTTTTTTCAGCAGCTGTTGCGACTACTGGAATGGACTGCTAGCAGGAAATAAGGAACCAGTTTGATCTGTCTAAATGCTTATTCGTGTATTTTCCTTGCTTTGTTTAATTTTCTGACCGACTTTTTTGCGTTTGACAAGCGTTTATTTCAACACGTGACTGTTGGTTTATTGCCGGTGTTCTATGTTGACAAGACTGTCGTTTCCTTTTGATGAATGTTCTATATAATTTTCCTAGCCGTAGATATCGCTGAATTGGTGTCTGAATTAACCGAAAATTATTATTTGTCATTGTTGTCTGAGGCTAACAGATTTTAAATAGAAGAATAGCCTGATTTTTAGAAACCGTATTTCACATTCACTGCTGCGGCAAAGGTTATTTCTCTTCGCAAGTAGAGCCGCTTCGGGATGTGTTTCGAGGTTTTGTCCTCCAACGCGTGTTTTTGACCTTTCCAAGCGAGAATGGTGTTGAACGTATTTACATTTTCTTTTTTAATTGTTACTGCAAGTCATCTGACTGGTTTCACATTTCCATGTTGCTGGTCCTTGCAACAGCAACACAGTGACTGCTTTTAGTACGTAAATATACTATAGGCTAGATGTGATGTACTGATTTGTGACGAACAGCACCAGAAAATTAATATATTTTGATGGTCCCGAAAATGCTAGCTGTATTTCGATGCACTTTTTAACATCCACAAATTGAAACGAAATTCAGTTATATAGTGAGTCCATTAGCATAGCTTTTAGTCGACTCGGCTATGTAGAGAAACTGCTCTACGGTAGGCAAGGTTCATCTAACGCATACAGTTGTTCCTGAAGGTCAGAATTTAATAATGCAGAAGGCGTTAATAATTTTTCAAATGACACTACATAGCGCGATGGGATTGCGTCCTTACTCTTTGTGTAATTTAGCAATACAACGGCACGGCAATTTGTTCGTGTACTGTCAGGCGCATTCGTATTACCTTGTTCTCTAGAGCAACGCTACAGCGTATCAATGATTTCAGCGAGTCTCGTCTGGGGGGGAAATGAAAGATGGTTAGTGCGAATGTAGTGGATCCATGTTCTAGTTATGTTAAGGCAACTGTGATATGTATCACGGTTTCTTTTCCTGTTCGCTGCAGCTGTGATAATGGACAGTGTGACGACCGTAAGAACGTAGATCATCGAGAACTTTTCGTTGCGTTGGTCTTTGATCATCTTACCAGGCTTTTACTTAACTGATTTTCGGGTTAAAAGTCTGCAAGCGAATCAACTTTAACGTTGGTGATTTGTTTTGACTATTTGACTCACTTCAATGGGCAGTGCGCGCTCCAATATTAGAATCTCTTTCAAGCCTTGTTTGCACCCTTCAAAGAAATCAGCGATCCTCTAAGCGTACGACATGCACCTTTTTTATATACAGTCACTGTATTCAAGCTAAGACTGCTCGATGTTAACTGCATATGCTTAAGCATTACTTGCTTTCTCAGCTTCAAACTGTACCCAGGAAATGGGCCGCGTTTGATTTCACTTTTCTCATAGGTTCATT